ATATGGCCTTGTGGGAAGGGAAAGACCTGATCGTCCCCCAGCCTGACACCCGTTAAGGGTCTGTGCTGAGGAGGACTAGTATAAGAGGAAAGAAGGTCTCCTGGCAGTTGAGATACAGAAAAGCATCTGTCTCCTGCCTGTCCCTGGGCAATGGAACATCTCGGTGTAAAACTGTACAACTGGATTGTATGTTCTGTTTACCAAGAAAGGAGAAAACCGCCTTAGGGCTGGAGGTGGGACGTACTAGCAGCAATGCTGCTCTTTATGCACTAAAAAGGTTTATGGAGATGTTTGCCTATGCATATCGAGGCACAGCAATTTTCCTTAAACTTGTTCATGTCACAGAGATCTTTATTCATATGTCTTACTGCTGACCTTCTCCCTACGATGATCCTATTATCCTGCCACTTCCCTTTTCCTAAGATGGTAAAGATAATGATCAATAAATACTGAGGGAACTCAGAGACTGGTGCCGGCGTGGGTCCTCTGTATGCTGAGCGCCGGTCCCCTGGGCCCACTTTTTCTTTCTCTATACTTGGTCTCTGTGTCTCATTTCTTTTCTCAAGTCTCTCGTTCACCTAACGAGAAACGCCCACGGGTGTGGAGGGGCAGGCCACCCCTTCACTGAACTAGCCAGTGTCTCCCTCTCTGCAGCCAGCTCCCTTCTCCCATCCTAAATGACTGTCATCCTCCCTTTAATTCAGCCAAGACTGGTTTGAATCTTTTACAAATGTACTAAGAAATGATACAAAAAGCCTAGAAAAGGGCGTGCCATAGAACAAGCTCTGTGGGTACAAAAAGCCATGCCCCTTCCCCACATCTGCCTCTGCCCTGCAGACCGGGTACAGATTGGAGGGATGGGGGATGGGCACGCGGCAGGCACAGCATGCAGGGAAGACAGCGTGACTGCCAGAGGGATGAAGGCAGACTGTGGACCAAGAAGGAGACGGAGCAACCCACATGGATGGGCCTCATCACCCACAGGCTAATCTGGAAAGGCCGGGGCATTAGCACGGGAGCAGGCACAGCTGGAAAGGCCATGGCAAATTGCCAGGACCTGAGCTGAGCCGGGTCAGGTCGATGTCCTCGGGCGCACCCAGCGGCTGCAGCGAGAAGCTCTGCAGGATGGCGGTGAGGTACAGAAAGAGCTCCATGCGCGCCAGCGACTCGCCCAGGCACAGACGGCGCCCTGCGGGGGTGGCAGGGTGGGGAGGGGCGGTGAGATAAGATGAAGTTAAAGGCTGCAACCCCACATTCCCAGAGGAAGACAGAAGAGGAAAGAAAGACAACCGCTGGGGACGTCACAGATTCCCACCCTTCTGAAGATCTGGGAAAGATGCTTTAAACTGTGGAGTGGAATGACCTGGGCTGCTTGGGTTCGAATCCCGGCCCTGTCACTACTAGTTTTGTGATCCTGGACAAACCACACTTTCTGGTTATTTAAAATGGGGCTATGAAGGCTGGGTGTGCTGGCTTAGGCCTCTAATCCCAGCACTTTCGGAGGTCAAGGGAAGAGGATCTCTTGAGCCCAGGAGTTTGAGAGCAGCCTGGGCAACACAGCAAGATCCCATCTCTAAAAAATATATATATATATATAAAAAATATATATATAAAAAAAAATATATATATAAAATATATATATATTTTAAATGTGCAAGGTGGCACATGCGTGCAGTCCCAGCTGCTTGGGAGGCTGAGGCGAGAGGATCACCTGGGCCCAGGAGATCAAGGCTGCAGTGAGCCATGATTGCACCACTGCCCTCCAGCCTGGATAACAGCAAGACCCTGTCTCAGAAATGAAAATAAAAGGAGGGATAGTAATAGTGCCTCATGAGGCTGCTGTGAATGGTAAACACAGGGAAAGCAGTGAGGTTATAAGTAGCTTACCATGCACTACTCTAAGCGTTAGATCACCATTAATTCTAACAACTCCAAGAGGCAGGCCTTAGTATATCTCCATTTTATAGATGTGGACATTGAGGCACAGAGAAGTGAAGTAACATACCCAAGGCAACACAGTTAGGGGGTGACAGACGGGATGCAAACCCTGCTGGAATCTGGGCTGCACATTTCCAGAAGAAAACTTAAGCTCTTAGCTGGGCTCTTGTACAGCCAGCACTTGATGCACAGTAGGCAACACGGTAAGTTACCTATTATTACGCCAGTTTTTTTTTTTTCTTTTCCTGCCACTGAGTAAAGAGGGAAGTATTTTCAGCAGGGTAAAGAGGAAAGCCAGAAAAAACCCAAAAAACGAAAAACAAACAAAAAAACCCCCCTAGAACCACCTCAACTGCGCCACCCAGTGGAGAGGTAGACAATGACCACTCCCAAGTTCAATTATTATTATTATTATTTTTAAACATTTTATATATTTTTTAGTTTTGGCTAGTCAGTATTTTTAATTGTAGAGAAAGGATCTCGCTCTGTTACCCAGACTGGAGTGCAGTGGCGTGATCATACTCAGTGTAACCTCAACCTCCTGAGCTCAAGCGATAATCCCACCTCAGCCTCCCAAGTAGCTGGGACTGCAGATGCCTGCCACCACACCCAGGTAATTTTAACATTTTCAAGGCCCGGGCGCGGTGGCTCAAGCCGTAATCCCAGCACTTTGGCAGGCCGAGACGGGCGGATCATGAGGGTCCAGGAGATCCGAGACCATCCTGGCTAACCGTGAAACCCCCGTCCTACTAAAAAAATACAAAAACTAGCCGGGCGAGGTGGCGGGCGCGCCTGTAGTCCAGCTACTCGGAGGCTGAGGCACGAAAATGGTGTAAACCCGGGAGGCGGAGCTTGCCAGGCTGAGAATGCCAGCCACTGCACTCCAGCGCGAACAGAGCCAGACTCCGCCTCAAAAAAAAAAAAAAAATTTTACATTTTCAAGTAGACAAAGGATCTCATGTTCGTCAGGCTAGTCTTAAACCTCCTGGCCTCCAAGTATTTCCTCCCGCCTCAGCCTCCCAAAGTACTGCGGATTACAGGTGTGAGCTGATGTGCCTGGCCAAGTTAAAATACATTCGTTACAATATAATTTTTTTTTTGAGATGGAGTTTTCCTCTGTTGCCCAGGCGGATGCAAATGGGCAACTGGTGCCCAAGCAACCTCTGCCCTGGGTGAAGTGATTCTCCTGTGCATCAGCCTCCAGAATATCTGGATTACAGGCCTGTGCCACCATTTCCTGGCTACTTGTTTTTTTTTGGTTTGTTTTCGAGATGGAGTCCCGCCTGTCGCCAGGCTGGAGTGCGTGGCACTATCACCCCTCCACTGCCAAGCCTCCGCCTCCTGAGTTCATGCCATTCTTCTGCCTCCACCTCCCGAGTAGCTGGGCGCTACAGGCCCGCCGCCACCACACCTGGCCTAATGGTTTTTGTATTTTAGTTAGAGAACGGTGTTTCCACCGTGTTAAGCAGGATGGTCTCGACCTTCTGACCTCGTGAACTGACCCTACCCTTGGCCCTCCCCAAAAATGCTGGGGCATACCAGGTGTGCCTTCCTGGTGAATTTTGGTACTTTTAGGTAGAAGACAAGGGTTTCAACCATGTTGGGTCAGGCTAATCTGAACTCCTGACTCAGGTGACCTGCCGCTAGATTCTCCCAAAGGGCTGGGATTATAAGGCGTGACAACCGCTCCCTGGCTGTTAATATATCATTATTTTTTTTTTTGAGACAGAGTCTGCTCTGTCACCCAGGCTGGGAGTCAATAGTGCAATCTCGGCTCACTGCAAACCTCGCCTCCCGGGTCAAAGCGATTTTCCTGTCCTCAGCCCCCAGAGAGCTTGGGACTGCCAGGTGCCCGCCACCCACACAGCTAATTTTTTGTATTTTAAGTAGAGACGGGTTTTACCATTTATGGCACGCCCTGTCCGAACTCCTGACCTCCAGGTGGATCCGCCACCTCAAGCTCCCAAAGGGTGCTGGGTTAAGGTGGTAAGCCCAACCCTGCCCAGCCCAAGTTAAAGTATTAATCCAACTTCCCCACCCTCGCCTTCCACGAGGATTTTAGTCCACTACTTGCCTTTATAAGGCGCAGAGTTGAGAGGGAGGAATGAAGCCTCTGTACACTCCAAAGCTGAAATGGGTGAAGGAAGGAGTGGAAGAGGATTTGGGCAAGGTGAATTAGATAAGGAATGTAGGCAAGAACATTGGGCAGAAGACCTCTGCTTCCTGCCTCAACCCAGCTGAGAAAGGGCGTGAAGCTGGCCTCTTCTTGAAGGACTGATGGCAATCCAAAAATGCTCAGTGGTTGAACTCTGGGGCGTCAGGAACTGGCAGGGGTCGTAGTGGGCGGTGGTTTAAGGAGGGTGATGATATCGGTGCCCCTGTGTGGGTGAGGGTGAGTTTAGCCAGTGGTAGGAGAGCTGGGGAGGCTCCATAACCTAGTTTCCATTTTATTGGGCTGGGTGTCCCGGGGACTTGATAAGGGGTGGGTGGGTGGGGTATAGGACTCAATCAGGGGCCAGGGAAGTGTGGGTATCTAGGATTCCAAGTGATGGGTGCTATATGCTGTGTTACTGGGGACTTTGGCCGGGATGTGGGAAACCCCCATCCTTTGTGGGAGCAGATATGGGGTTTCTGGGAAAAATGAGGGGGCCCTGAGAATAGCGTTTAGGCACAGGGGATCCTCAAGATGAAGTTCCAGACCCCAGGGCTTCCTTCCAGGGAGGGTTTCTAGGAAGGGGATTTGTCACGGGTCTAGTCCACTATGATATGAGATGGGGTCCTGGGAAAGGCCCGAGCTTCTGGATTTGAGGGTCTGAAATGTCTGTAGCTAGGGCTTGGGATGCCAGTTGCTAAGGCCTGGGGTGTTGATTGCTAGTGCCTGGGATACTCCTTGCGAGTTGCAAGAGCCTGCGATGCTTCCTCTTAGGTTGCCTGATGTCGTTTGCCAGGCCTAGCGCACCTTGGGTATCAGGAAGCCGCGAAAGGCCGTGTCCCGGGTGACGCGGTGCGGCAAGTTCATGGGGATGATGTCTGCAAAGCGCTGCACCTGGTGGATCACCCGGTCTGTGTAAGGCATAGTACTGCGGTCCTCCAGCGCCGCTGGCAGTCGCGCGCCTCCCACTGCGAGGTCGATCTCCTCCTGCACGCGGGCTGGAAGGGGTGGGGGAGGAGGGGTCAAGGATATCAGAGGCGCGACAGGGCAACCAGGCTGGCAAGAGGTGTGTGCTTGTGTGGGGAGGGGTCTAGTCAAAGCCTCCAAGCACGGGGCGCCACTTGGGGCGCACGTGAGAATTAGCTAGAGCTGGCCCGCTAGCTGGCTCATGCCTGTAATCCCAGAACTTGGGAGGCCCAGGCGAACGGATCCCTTGAGCCCAGGAGTTTGAGACTGTAGGGAAAAGAAAGAGAGATCAGAATGTTACTGTGTCTATGTAGAAAAGGAAGACATAAGAAGTTCCATTTTGATCTGTACTAAGAAAATTGTTTTGCCTTGGGATGCTGTTAACCTGTGACTTTAGCCCCAACCCTGTGCTCACAGAAACATGTGCTGTATGGAATCAAGGTTTAAGGGATCTAGGACTGTGCAGGATGTGCCTTGTTAGCAATATGTTTACAGGCAGTATGCTTGGTAAAAGTCATCGCCATTCTCCATTTTCGATTAACCAGGGCCACAATGAATGGTGGAAAGCCGCAGGGACCTCTGCCCAAGAAAGCCTGGGTATTGTCCAAGGTTTCCCCACACTGAGACAGCCTGAAATATGGCCTCGTGGAAAGGGAAAGACCTGACTGTCCCCCAGTCCGACACCGGTAACGAGTCTGTGCTGAGGAGGATTAGTAAAAGAGGGAGGCTTCTTGTGGTTGAGATAAGAGGAAGGCCTCTGACTCCTGCATGTTTCTGGGAACAGAATGTCTCAGTGTAAAACCCAATCGTACATTCATTCTATTCCGAGATAGGAGAAAACTGCCCTATGGCTGGAGGCGATATGCTGGCGGCAATGCTACTCTGTTACTGTTTGCTAAACTGAGACGTTTGGGCGGAGAGAAGCATAAATCTGGCTTAGGCACACATCCGGGCACAGTACCTTACCTTGAACTTATTTGTAACCCAGATTCCTTTGCTCACATGTTTTCCTGCTGACCTTCTCCCCTCTATGACCCTGCTCTCCTGCTGCATTCCCTTAGCCGAGATAGTGAAATTACTAATCAATAAATACTGAGGGAACTCAGAGACTGGGGCCAGTGCGGGTCCTCTGTATGGCACCGGTCCCTTGGACCCCACTGTTCTTTCTCTATACTTTGTCTCTGTGCCTTATTTCTTTTCTCCGTCTCTCATCCCGCCTGACGAAAAATACCCACAGGTGTGGAGGGGCTGGCCCCCTTCATCTGACGTCCAACATGGGTGCCTTTCTCTAAGGCGAGGGTACGCTAAGAACATGAGCATCGAGGACAAGTGGATGAGAGATTCCCGAGTACATCCGTGGTCAGCCTTGCAGTAAGCTTGTGCGCTTGGAGGAACCCAGGGTAACAATGGGACAAACTGAAAGTAAATATGCCTCTTATCTCAGCTTTATTAAAATTCTTTTAAGAAGAGGGGGAATTAGAGCTTCTACAGAAAATCTAATTACGCTATTTCAAAGAAGAGAAGATAGCATTTCAATTTCTGATGCCCCTGAAAGCTGTATAATAGATTCTGAAGAAGAGGCAGGGACAAAATCCCGGAAAGTTCACATTGTAAATACGTAGCAGAGTCTGTAAAGGCTGGGTCAACTCAAAATGTTGACTACAATCAATTACAGGAGGTAATATCCTGAAACATTAAAATTGAGAGGAGAAGATCCAGAACCATTGGGGCCATCAGTGCTAACACCACAACGGCCACCTGCTCCGCAGTGGAGTGAAAGCTGGGGGAGGGAGCCCGAAACCCCGCTCACTGCGACTTGGCTCACTGCGCCCATTATTGCGCAACCTGCAGTTCATTATGGTAAAAGAGCAATTCAGACTCACCCCGCAGTGTCCTGTCTGGGTTGAACAGTGGCTGCTCCCTAAGAAAAAGTTGGGGGCGCTACATAAAATAATTAAAAGAACTATTTAAAAAAGGGCATGTTTCACCCACTTTCTCTCCTTAAAATTCTCCAGTGTTTGAAATTCAAAACAAATCCAGCACATGGCACATGCGGACCAACTTAAGAGCTGTTAATGCCGTAGTTCAACCCATGGGGGCTCTCCAACCTGGGTTGCCCTCTCTGGCCATGATCCCCAAAGACTGGCCTTTAATTATAATTGATCTGAGTCTGGGTGTGGTGGCTCACATCCGTAATCCCAGCATTTTGGGAGGCTGAGGCGGGCAGATCACAAGGTCAGGAGATCTAGATCATTCTGGCTAACACGGTGAAACTCCTCTCTACTACAAATACAAAAAATTAGCCGGGTGTGGTGGCGGGCACCTGTAGTCCCAGCTACTAGGGAGGCTGAGGCAGAAGAATGGTGTGAACCCGGGAGGCGGAGCTTGCAGTGAGCCGAGATTTTGCCACTGCAGTCCAGCTTGGGCAACAGAGCGAGACTCCATCTCAAAAAAAAAAAAAAAAGATTGATCTGAAGGATTGCTTTTTTACCATTCCTCTGGCAAAACAGGATTTTGAAAATTTTGCCTTTACTATACCGGCCATAAATAATAAACAACCAGCCACCAGGTTTCAGTGGAAAGTGTTACCTCAGGGAATGCTTAATAGTCCAACTATTTGTCAGACTTTTGTAGCTCAAGCTCTTCAGCCAGTTAGAGATAAGTTTTCAGACTGTTGTATCATTCATTATGTTGATGATATTTTGTGTGCTGCAGAAACAAGAGACAAATTAATTAACTATTACACATTTCTGCAGACAGAGGTTGCCAACGCAGAACGGACAATAGCATCTGATAAGATTCAAGCCTCTACTCCTTTCCATTACTTGGGAATGCAGGTAGAGGAAAAGAAAATTAAACCACCAAAAATATAAATAAGAAAAGACACATTAAAAACATTAAATGACTTCAAAAGTTGCTAGGAGATATTAACTGGATTCGGCCAACTCTAGGCATCCCTACTTATGCCATGTCAAATTTGTTCTCTATCTTAAGAGAGGACCCGGAATTAAACAGTAAAAGAACATTAACTCCAGAGGCAACTAAAGAAATTAAATTAAAGAAAAAATTCAATCAGCACAAGTAAATCCCTTGGCCCCACTCCAACTTTTGATTTTTGCTACTGCACATTCTCCAACAGGCATCGTTGTTCAAAATACTGATCCTGTGGAGTGGTGGTTCCTTCCTCACAGTACAATTAAGACTTTTACATTGTGCTTGGATCAAATGGCTACATTAATTGGTCAGGCAAAACTACAAATAATAAAATTGTGTGGAAGTGACCCAGACAAAATCATCGTTCCTTTAAACAAGGAACAGGTTAGACAAGCCTTTATCAATTCTGGTGCTTGGCAGATTGGTCTTACTGATTTTGTGGGAATTTTTGACAATCAATACCCAAAAACAAAAATCTTCCAGTTTTTAAAATTGACTACTTGGATTTTACCTAAAATTGCCAAATGTAAACCTTTAGAAAATGTTCTGATGGTGTTTACTGATGGCCCCTCGAGGCCAATTATATCATAATTGTACGGGCCAGACTCACTCATATTCACAGGCCCCATCTATCTTGCCCATTAATCCGGCCTATGATAGTGATTTAACTGAAACACTGGACCAGATTTATAGAAGGTTTGAATCACCCTATCCATGGAAATGGGGTGAAAAGGGAATTTCATCACCTCAACCAAAGTTAGTCCTGTGACTGGTCCTGAACATCCAGAATTATGGAAGTTTACTGTGGCCTTGCACCACATTAGAATTTGGTCTGGAAATCAAGCCACAGGAACAAGAGATTATAAGCCATATTATACTATCAACCTAAATTCCAGTCTGACAATTTCTTTGCAAAGTTGTGTAAAACCCCCTTTATATGCTAGTTGTAGGAAACATAGTTATCAACCAGATTCCCAAACTATAACCTGTGAAAATTGTAGATTTTTTCCTTGCATTGATTCCACTTTTAATTGCAGCACCATATTCTACTAGTGAGATTAAGAGAGGGTGTGTGGATCCCCGTGTCCATGGACCAACCGTGGGAGGCCTCGCCATTCATCCATATTTTAATGGAAGTATTAAAAGGAATTCTAACTAGATCCAAAAGATTCATTTTTACTTTGATTGCAGTGATTATGGGCCTTATTGCAGTCACAGCTACTGCTGCGGCTACTGGAATTGTTTTACAATCCTCTGTTCAAACTGCAAAATATGTCCATGATTGGCCAAAGAATTTCTCAAAATTGTGAAAATCTCAGACCCAAATAGATCAAAAATTGGCAAACCAAATTAATGATCTTAGACAAACTGTCATTTGGATGAGAGATAGGCTCATGGGCTTGGAACATCATTTTCAGTTACAGTGTGACTGGAATACGTCAGATTTTTGTATTACACCCCAAGCCTATAATGAGTCTGAGCATTACCGGGACATGGTTAGACACCACCTACAAGGAAGAGAAGATAATCTTACTTTAGACTTTTCAAAATTAAAAGAACACATTTTTGAGGCATCAAAAGTCCATTTAAATGTAGTGCCAGGAACTGAGGCAATCGTGAACACTGCTGATGGCCTCGCAAATCTTAACCCAGTCAGTTGGGTTAAAATCATCATAAGTTCCACTATTGTAAATTTCATATTAATCCTTGTATGCCTGTTCTGTCTATTGTTAGTCTACAGGTGTATCCAGCAGCTCCGAAGAGACAGTGACCAGCGACAACGGGCCATAATGACGATGGCGGTTTTGTCAAAAAGAAAAGGGGGATATGTAGGGAAAAGAAAGAGAGATCAGACTGTTACTGTGTCTATGTAGAAAAGGAAGACATAAGAAGTTCCATTTTGATCTGTACTAAGAAAATTGTTTTGCCTTGAGATGCTGTTGATCTGTAACTTTAACTCCAACCCTGTGCTCACAGAAACATGTGCTGTATGGAATCAAGGTTTAAGGGATCTAGGACTGTGCAGGATGTGCCTTGTTAACAATATGTTTGCAGGCAGTATGCTTGTTAAAGTCATGGCTATTCTCCATTCTTGATTAACAGGGTGCACAATGCACTGCAGAAAGACCCAGGGACCTCTGCCCAAGAAAGCCTGGGTATTGTCCAAGGTTTCCCCCCACTGAGACAGCCTGAAATATGGCCTCATGGGAAGGGAAAGACCTGACTGTCCCCCAGCCTGACACACATGAAGGGTTTGTGCTGAGGAAGCCTCTTGCGGTTGAGATAAGAGGAAGGCCTCTGACTCCTGCATATCCCTGGGAACAGAATGTCTCGGTGTAAAACCTGATCATACATTCATTCTATTCTGAGATAGGAGAAAACCGCCCTGTGGCTGGAGGCGAGATATGCTGGTGGCAATGCTGCTTGGTTACTCTTTGCTACACTGAGACGTTTGGATGGAGAGAAGCATAAACCTGGCTTAGGCACACATCCGGGCACAGTACCTTCCCTTGAATTTATATGTAACCCAGATTCCTTTGCTCACATGTTTTCCTGCTGACCTTCTCCCCACTATCACCCTGTTCTCTTGCCGCATTCCATTAGCCAAGATAGTGAAAATAGTAATCAATAAATACTGAGGGAACTCAAGAGACTGGGGCCGGTGCGGGTCCTCCGTATGCTGAGTGCCGGTCCCCTGGGCCCACTGTTCTTTCTCTATACTTTGTCTCTGTGCCTTATTTCTTTTCTCTGCCTCTCGTCCCGCTTGACGAAAAATACCCACAGGTGTGGAGGGGCTGGTCCCCGTCAGAGACAAGCCTGGGCAACATGGTGAAACCAATTAAAAAATTAGCTGGGCATGGTGGCGCACACCTATAGTCCCAGCTACTTGGGAGGCGGAGGCTGGAGAATCGCTTGAACCCGGGAGGCAGAGGTTGCAGTGAGCTGGGATCGGGCCACTGCACTCCAGCCTGGGCAACAGAGCGAGACTCCGTCATAAAAAAAAAAAAAAAAAGGAAAAATAAAAAAAAGAATTAGCCAGGGTGGAGCTTGGGGAGGTGGAATAGCAGACAGAGCTGTGTGTGTGGGCCAGGCTGTGTGGGAGAGGTAGGGTTCCCTGGCAGGTGTGTGGCTGGGGCTCTGGGAAGACTGTTAGCTGGGCTCCGGAGCCGGAGGTGGACGTATGCAGTGGTGGACACGGTCAGAACAAGGCAAGACCAAGTGGGTGGAGGTGGGGAACGGTGGCTGACACCTGTAACCCCAGCACTTTGGGAGGCCGAGGTGAGAGGATTGCTTGAGCCCAGGAGTTGGAGACCTACCAGGACAACACAGCTAGACCCTGTCTCTACAAAAAATAAAAAGTTAGCTGAGTGTATTGAGTGTGGTGGTGCACGCCTGTACTCCCAGCTATTGATAAGGCTGAGGTGGGAAGATCTCTTGAGCCCAAGGGGCTGCAGTGAGCTGTGATTGCACCATTGTACTCCAGCCTGGGCGACAGAGTGACTCTGTCTCAAAAACAAACAAAAAACTAAGCAGAGCTGGGTTCAGTGGCTCACGCCTGTAATCCCAGCACTTTGGGAGACTGAGGCGAGTGGATCACTTGAGGCCAGGAGTTCAAGACCAGCCTGGCCAACTTGGTGAA